CCTCCGGCAGAGCCAGGCCTGGCTTCAGTGCGGGCGTTGGCAGCCACAGGCAGGAGGTGGGCACAGCCTGGATTGCTTACTAATCTCTGCTGCTGCCATGCCTGATGGGTGGCTGAGCCGCAGTGGGGGGTAGGGGATCCCAGTCCAGGTAAGCCCACCCCTTCCCTCTGGACCTGGGGGCATCGGCATCTACAAGTTGGCTTCTTAATCTTTTGCCTGTGGGGCCCAGTGAGAGCTCGAGCAGGCCTGTCACTTCCCAGGCCGTGGGCTGGCTGGGATTATGAGGAGGGATTTCATCCCCGGCCCAGCCCCACTGCACGAGGCTTGGTTTGTGTCCACCCCCCGCCCAGTGCCTTCCTGCAGTGGGGTTCCACGTGTGCCCGCTGGTGCCTGGCTGCGAGGGAAGCTGGGAGGTGCCCGCTCAAGCTATTTTTACCCAGCCCTGTCCCCACGGAGCTGTTCTTTGGCTCTAAGTTACTGCCTGGCGAGCAGAGCCCCTGCCGGGGCTGGGGGTGGATGTGCCCCAGCCTCCTGGACTCCCTTGCCTGCGCAGTGTCTCATCCTAACGCGTGTTAAAGCATGTAATTAATGTGCAGAGAGACCTTCCAAGAGCATACACAGAAGATGGCCTTGGGGGTGGGAGGGAGGGCGCAGAAAGAAAGAGGCACCTGCAGGTCAGGCTTCCAGAAGCCGAACCCAGCCTGCCTCCACTCAGTGTGCCCCTGGGGGTCAAAGCGATAGGCTCCTGGGGCTGCACGAGCCAACAGGGGCACCCCTGCTTGTCTCCTCTCAACCAGAATAGCTCAGATTTGTTGATCATCTTCCGTGTGTGCCGAGCACACGTCCTAACTCATTTCCTGATCATCGTGAACTCCGTCAGTAGACGAGGAAACTGAGGCACCGAGAAGTAAACCTAAGGTTGCAGAACTTAGTGGTGGAGCCGAGGTTTGAACCCAGTCGGTCCACCTCCAGAGCTCGTTCCCAGTGCCACTCTGCCCGCTCTCTTCTTTGCCACGATCCCGGCACCCGTGAGGTACGAGGCATCGTTCTGCGTTCTCTATGGCGATCCTGCCGGGCAGGCATTTCTACCCGTCTGTAGATGAGGCTCAGAAGTCGAACAACTTCTCCAGGGTCACACGGCCGGCCAGTGGCCAAGTCGGATGGGCACCCACGCCTCGAGGTCACCGTGGGTGGGCTCTCCCCAGCTCACTGTTCTGCAGGGCAGTTCGTTTCCCCAAATACTTGTTAATTGCCTGCCATGTGCTCGCTGCGGTGCTGCCTGTTGGGGGTTCAGGTGCTCTCATCCCCACGGTTACTACCATAGGGACCCTTCTTACAGGGAGTGTGGGTGGGGCCTCTCGGGCCCGTGCCCTCCGTGCACTAGCCGCCAGGAGAATGGAGTAGTGATGTGTGTGGCTTGGAGGGAGCATCCCCTGAGGGCCGGGTGGGTGACGGGCAGGACCAAACGACGTCATCATGTCCAGGCCCTGCCGCGCCGCCTTCTGGAAGTGTGGACGGTGGGCACCGGAGGCCCCTCTGAGGCGGGGATGCCCTCTCCCGCCGTCGGTCCTTTTCACCAGCTGTTGAATTCGGCCTGGGCCGACTTCCTACAGAGGAAGGGGTGACTTCAGGGCCTGCTGCTGCCACTGGAGAGGGGCCCCACAGGCAGGCTGGGTGCCTCCCGGCTCCCACTTCCAGCCAGGGGCCAGCTGCATCCAGTCCCAGCTAGAGACGGGGTGGGGACGCCGAGGGGGACACTGGTGATACCGACCTGCCCTGCCAAAGCAGCTGCCTAGGGCATGTTTTCCCAGCCTCCGGCCTCTCCTATCTCTCCAGAAACCCCTGGTTTTGGGTAAATCCCCAGACCCAGCTTCTTGAGGAGGGCATACTGCCTAGTCTCCAAGCCAGTGAGGGGTTACACCTTCTAGCACCTGCTCCTGCTTTGCCTCTCTTCCTGAGGTGTTCGGGATCAGAGCAGGCTGTCCCCACTTCCAGGGGCAGCCCTCCCAGGCCCGGTGCTATACCTAGCCCTTCCCCAGAGGGCCCAGAGGAAGGGGAGCAGGGTCAGGATGTTCCCAGGGGAGTAGCAGGGGTGACACGGCCCCTTTTGTCCGGGACAGATGCCAAACCAGTACTGTCCCAGACCAACCAGGGTATAGCTTTTCTGAGAGCTTGTCTTTATGTTTCTTGAATTTAGAAGAAAGCTACTAGAAATGGTTTTGAGGTTCTAGAAATCGTAACTTGCCTTGGGCAAACAGTGAAAAGGTGTCAGCGTGGGGAGGCAGCTGATTTTACAAGGCTGGCATGTTGAGAGAGCGCATGTGGCGAGGGGTGGCTGAGGGCCCTGACGTGGCATGTCAGGAGCCTGGCTTCGGGTCACAGCAGGGCCTCCTGCAGCGGGGAAGCTCCAGGGCAGCCCCCTCGCTCGCTGAGCCTCACCTTCCCCATGCGTCAGGCTAAGCCTGTAAATCCTCCATCCCTGCCCCTCTGCACCTCCTGGAGCTCTCCCGGGGCTGTCGTCCGAGCCGGACGGGGGTATGTGTGGGAGACAGACCAGATCCTTCGACAAGTGCAAAAGGCCAGACAGATGTGGACTCTGCTCGATCAGAGGGTAAAACTATGCCTGAGGAAGTGGTGGCCTTATTGGGAGGGAGTGACCTCTGTGGGGGCCTCAAAGCCGCCTCCTGCCCCACCTGTGGCTGAGACAGGCCCCTCTTTTCTCTTGGCCCAGCTGTCAGGAGGGGGAATGTTGCTCTGGGACATCAGGTGGGAGGAGGCCGTGGTCCGCACTTCCGTGTGGTGAGTTGGGTGCCTCTGGGCAGAGTGCCTGGCAGAAACTGGGCCTCCGTATCTCCATGTCCAAGGGGACAAACATGAGTTAGCCAGAGGCCAAGCCGGACGCCTGAGGAGCATGGCTCCCGGTCTCTACTAGGTGCCCTGCCTGCCTCAAGCCTCTGCTCGGTGGGCAGCAGCCTCCTCAGGACCCCTGCTGACGGGGCTATGAGGACAGCATGGGCACTGGCGGCTCCCGGTCCAGTCCTGCCCTGCCCCTCTCTCCGGCGGGGCCCCGGGTAAGTCACCTCACGTATGAGAGGGGAAAGGAGACCCAACTCCTAGGGCTGTGAGGACCGGAAGTGGCCGAGGACTCCTGTGAGCCCCAAGGCAGGCGTTCCCAGCGAGTGCCAACCCTCCCCTGCCCTTATGGCTGGGAAGGCAGAAAGCTCGCAGGTGAGGGAACAGAGCACGGCCCTCCTCGGTGAGCCGTCTCCCTCCTGCCTGGCGTCTCTCCCAGTTTCCCCGCGCTGAGCCGAGGAGTCTCCTGCTGTGGGTCGGAAGTGGGCAGCACGTGGGGGCTGCAGCAGGTGGAATGCCTGGGCTTCATAATTACTGATCTGTCCCTACGTGAGACTGAAGCTCTAGGAGCGTGGGTTGCATGACCGATAGATGGAACCGAGCGTGTGGTGGTCAGAGGTAGGTGGGGCGACCTCCGCCTCCTGGCCTAGAAGACTCCTGGCAGGTGACTCTCTGAGCCTCCATGTCGTCGTTGGTAAAGTGGGGCTAAGAATCGCTGTTCTGAAGAGCTGTCCTAAGCCCACATAAGATTACGTATTCACTGTCCGCTCTGCCTCCGGAACTTGGTGGCTGCTCGGGAAACGTTGGCTTCCCTTTGTTTCTGCTGGGATGCAGCCTCGGGCTTGTGGACGGAGAGCTTGCTTCGGGTGCAGGATCCGACGCGGTCGGGAGCCCTGTGGGATTGGGTTGGTGACATTCAGGTGGAAAGGGCCGTGTGAACACGAGGGTAGTTTTAATGACGCAGCCCCTCGGCCTCCACAGCCGGGGGGCCTCCCTGTCTGGTGCCGGCTTTATTAGTGCAGCCGGTGCTCCGCCCGAGTCCTGGGACAGGCGGGAGCCAGGCTCATTAACTGCCATCTATTCTTGGGCCAGGGTGTCTACAGCAGCAGGTGACGGCACACTTCTCAGTGGGCACAGCCAAGCCTGCCGCTGACCACCTTCCTTGGATGTCCCCAATCCTGTTCTTGTCTGGGGTGCCTGGGGGCTTTTCACAGCCTCTGTTACTGTTCCCCTGGCTGCAGTCCCGGGGCCGCAGGGAGCACCTTCAACGCGGGCCACGCGGAAGATCCTTGGGAGCAGTTTGACCTCTCGGACAGGAGCAGGTGGAAGCAGTGCCCCCTCAGAGGCGGCAGCCCCGAGGGTGGTTTGCGGAGCGCTGCCTCTCAGAACGGAGCCAGAGCTCATAACCTAGAAGGTGATTTTGGCAAAAGTTCAGGCGGGTCTTTATCTCGTGCTGGCGTGGTGCTGGGCGGCGTGCTAGGCACCGGGGACCCACCCCTGCTCGGAACTGAAGGGCTCTGTGTCCTTGCTCCTCAGCACGGCCGCGGCAGGGCCAAGGCACGCTGTCCTTCCCCGGCTGGTGCCACGTTGAGGTCCTACCCCGTGACACAGTGATCCTGTAGGATTCCACGGTCATTCTCAGTTTACCGAGAGAAGCGAGGTTCACGGAGGTGATCTGACTGCCCAGAGTCCTGGAGGGCAGGTTCCGTGGTGCGTGGATATCCCTCTACCCCGCTGCATCAAACTCCACTTGGTCGGGGTCGTCGTTCTTGGTAGCCGTTCATTGTGGCTGTGCCCTTAACTCAGTCACGAAGCCATCTGGCTCCTTGTGCAGGCTGTGATGGGGACCCCGACGAGCAAGCTGTCCAGGTGTCCTGAGCAATGTAGCCAGCCCAGCTGTGGCTCTTCTTCACAGATGGCTGTCCCCAGTGGTGCTGGCTCCTCACTGGGCTCTCATGAGGCAGCTGCTGTGAGGGGCCCAAGATGAATCACCTGCCGGGTATTCTTATTCTCAAGGTCCTGAGGTCTGGACCTGCCTGTGTCCCAGTCCCTGCCATCCCTGGCCCTGCCGACATCCTCGCGGTCTGATGAGGCACACTGAGCCCCGGGGAGCCAGCCTCCCTCACTTTGTCCTCTGTCTTTCCCAGGGCAGCGAGGTGCCAGGCCCTACCTTTGCTGATGGCGAGCTCCTCCCCAGGGACCCCAGCTTCTTTCCCGAGGACGAGGAGGAGGCTATGACGCTGGCCCCACCTGAGGGCCCCCCGGAGTCAGACATGGACAGCCCCATGGAGAGCATGCAGAGCCTGGAGGGGTCAGTTGGGAGTCCTGCCGAGGAGAAGGACGGAGGGCTCGGGGGCCTGTTCCTGCCGGAGGACAAGTGAGTTAAAACTGTCTGGAGCGCCACATACAGGAAGGTGGTGGTCATGGCCAACCCAGAGATTTGGAGAGGGAGGAGAGGGGTTCTAGTATCAGTTGAACCATATGAAATTGTCAATTCTTAATCATTTTTGACCTTCAAAAAAAAAAAAAAGCAATTTCCTATACATTTTCGCAGGGCAGAGCTTCTCAGGCTCCAGTGGCTCTGGGAGTCAGGCTGTTCTCGGTGGGGTCTTTGGAGTAGTTCATCCATTTTGCTTCCTGGGAGCAGTGTGACAGCCGTACTGTGACCAGCCACCAAGGACAGCTGGTCAGGGACCACAGACCCATTGTCCTTTTGGCTGACCATTTGCCACTTGATCGTACACATTGTTCTTTGGGACCAGTCGCCAGGAGGTGGCCGGCAGGGGACACTGAGGGTTTTAATAAAATGTATAGGAGAAAGAGCTGGAATGTGATGAATCCATCCCAAGGTGCTGAGGAGCCTGAGGGCAGATGAATGAGTTCAACAACAACAGGGTGGCGGTACCAGCAGACTTGCTCGTTAGTGCCCTGTCATCAACACTGTGATTCTCAGAGACCAGGACTGCTCAAGGGCACGGTGGGAGAATTACGGCCTTACCCACTTCCCTGCTTCTTGTCCCCAGTTCAAGTTGCCCAGTTTTGAGCTCAGAGGCTCAGTACGTCAGAGAAACCCTCATTTCTGAGTAGCAATACGTAGACCTGACCTCACAACCACTGACGGGAAGACCTGTTTCGGCAGGTGACAAGCAGTGCTCGGTTCTCAGGTTGTGGACAGGGCTCAGCCAGCCCTGGACACTGTCACAGGCCACACCGGGGGTCACCCATGAGAGGCCTAGGGTCTCCGACCCATGTTCTCTGCAGTGAGTCCCTTCTATAAACTGGGAGAAGCGCCTCATCTAGTAGCTCGTTGTTACTTATTTTAAAACTTCCGTTTCTTACTAGAATGCAACCCAATTAAACAGAGCTTGGAAAAGGTAGGAAAGGAAGAATGGCAGGGGGTGGGGGGAGTAACTCACTTACAGTCCTACCACCCAAACCCAAGCTCTGTTACCATGTAAATACTTTTATGTCCTAGTTTTCCTTATTTTGTATCAACCTTTCCTTTCTGTATTTAAATTTTATATCCAACTTTATATTAGTTTTTCCCATATTATTGCTAGTATTTTTTGCAGACCTTTCAACAATTAGATAACCCATAATTTGATATTTACTAATATATATTATAATTTTACAACTGTAACTTAATCATTTAATTAGCTAATATTAGCAATATAGAATATATAATTTTATATTATACATCTACTATAACTTAAAAAATTTTTTTTTTAACACTTGTTTATTTTTTGAGAGACAGAGACAGAGCATGAACGGGGAAGGAGCAGAGAGAGAGGGAGACACAGAATCTGAAGCAGGCTCGCAGGGCTCAAATTCCCAAACTGTGAGATCGTGACCTGAGCCAACGTGGGACGCTTAACCGACTAAGCCACCCAGGAGGCCCCATATACTATGACTTACTATAACTTATTCTAATTTGATGTAGGGAAACCATTCAGTTGTAAGCAATGTTTTGTTGCTGTAGAGAAGCATCGGTTTGCGCATCTCTTGTGCAGAAGCTGTTTCTGTGGTGAGACACTTCCCTTAGGATGAGGTCCCCAAAGTGCACTTGCCAGGTCAGAAAGCACACACTCAGGCTTCTGATCTCTGTGGCACCAGTTGACCTCCAGGAAGGTGGTTGGTTTCCCCGGCACAGGCAGTGGACGGGGCTGTGTTAACAGACAGCCCTTCTGTAACACCCAGGTCCCTGGGCCATGCACCATCCATGACCACATCGGACCTCTCCACACACTCCACCACCTCGCTTATCAGCAATGAGGAGCAGTTTGAAGACTATGGAGAGGGGGACGACGTGGACTGTGCCCCCAGCAGCCCCTGCCCCGATGACGAGACCAGGACCAACGTTTACTCGGACCTGGGATCTTCAGTGTCTTCCAGGTGGCCCTGTGGTCTGGAATGGCAATTTGGGGCCCGGGAAAAGCGGCCGGACCAACCAAACCTCATCCCAGGGCGGGTCAGAGGGCAGAGTCCTAAGCTCCCTGGGGTCAGCTTCTGGAGCTTGGGGGTGCTGCCTTTGCACCCTGATTGGAGATTCTAGAATTCCTCCCGCCTCCTTCTGGCTTGGGGAAGAAATAGAATTAGCCCACCTGGGAGGCTGCAGACTCAGGGGTGTGTGCTGTCTTGCTTCCTAGAACCTTGGTGTCGAAAGGTCCTTCTAAGTGACCTACTGTGATACCTTCCCCCACACCTAGTCATTACTCACTCTGATGTTAGCTCTCCATCGCCTTGTCTGTGAAATGGGTACTGTTCATTGGCCTTTCCTCTGAGAGTATCGAGGGAGGGAGGATCTGTTGCTGTATTTCCACTCCCTCTGCCCCTAAGCGCACGCACAAAAGGTTCCCCGGCATTGGGGAACCCAGTCAAGTAAGGATGGGGTAGGGCACCAGACTGGACAGCAGAGGTTGATTTCTGTCTCCCGAATCAGTGCGGGGCAGACACCCAGGAAAATGCGGCACGCCTACAACAGCGAATTGCTGGATGTTTACTGCTCTCAGTGCTGTAAGAAGATCAACCTGCTGAATGACCTGGAAGCCCGACTGAAAAACCTGAAGGCCAACAGGTGAGGCCCTCGGGACCCAGCAGAGGGATGGGAGGCCAGGGCTGGGGGTGGGGGGGTGGGTCCAGAGGGGGAAGCGGCAGGCAAGGCGGCCCCACTCTGTCTTGGCAAGTGAGGGCCCTGTCAGGGTGGGATTGATCTTAGGGGGCTTGCATTTTTCTGCAAGAGGAAACTCAGGGTGCTTCTGCTGAGGACCGAGCTGATTAGTGAATTCCCTGCAGCGGGCGGGACAAAGCCCTGTAGTGCACCTACTGGTATCTTGCAGCCAAGGCAGAGTAAGGAGTGGACTAGAGCCCCCTCTGTTCAATGACTGTTTTCTCTCTCTCTCTCTCTCCCTCCTGCACCCCCACCCCTGCAGCCCTAACCGGAAGATCTCTAGCACGGCCTTTGGACGGTAAGACCCCCCACCTGGGGAGGAGGGGTGGAATACTGTCTCCCTTTCCGTTCGGGCAGCCCAGACCCAGCCAGTGCCCAGTGCCCTGTGCGTGCCCAATGCACAGAGGGAAACAGAGACCCCCAGGAGTGCAGGCAGAGCAACCAGACCTCTACTTCTGACAGGGAGGGGCCGCCCTTGCCCCTTGTGGCAGTGGAGCAGTCGGCCTCTCCAAACCCTTAGCTGTTTCCGCTCCAGGCAGGTGCACCAGGGAGGCCCCGAGAGACCCGGCGCGTCTCACGGCTGTTGGTGCCCTGCCCCACACCCTGGAGCCGGCAGCTGTGCCAGCAGATCCTGGGGATCCCGCTGACCGAGACTGGGCACGAGTGTGCCCTGTTGGAGCTGGTCACTTTGCTCCCGGTTAAATCCTCCCAGCTAACTTCCTGGGACTTCCAAGCTCCCGCTCTGGATCTCGGGATCCGGGTTCTCATGCACGCTGGCCCGGGTCCACTCCCAGGGCCCTGGGAGCTGCCAGCAAGCGCCCAGACTCTGGCTCGAGAGCAGGAGTGGGACGGGACAGGCCCTGGGTAGAGACCTGGCTGCTGCCCGGCAGGGAGCGGGAAGGGGGAGCCTCACCGTGGTAGCTGGGTTTGCCTCCGGCAAGTCTTTACCCATGTGCAGACCCACCCAACCCCCTGCCCTGCACAGTCTGGGTGGGTCTCCTTCCCGTTCCCAGGGTCCCAGAGATGCATCGGGAGCCGGTTTGGTGGAGGAATTGAGTCTTGCTGGGTGGCCTCAGGAGGCCAGGACCCTCTGCCAGGACGGTGGAGCCAGTCTACCTGCAGTGGCTGGTTTTGCAGCTGGAGGGAGGTGGTCGGGGGCTCATGTGCCCACTCTGGTCACTGGGTAGTTACTGGCTCGAACACCGGCACGAAAAGGGTGCTGAGGCAGCAGGCCGGAGCCGTGATGGATTGCCAGGGACTCTGGAGGGGTGTAGCGGCCCCTCCGCTGGCCTCTGAGCTGTGTGACCTCTTGAGTTCAGAGGTCAGGCAACTCTTCTCCCCTGACTGGGTGAGGACAGCCTCCTTGGAGGGGTCCCTGGCCTTCTCCCCAAGATACTGGGTGCTCTCAGCCCACAGCCCAGTGTGGACCCCAGGCCCTGGAGGGCTGGCCTCTGCAGCTGCCTCCCCCCTCCTCCCTCCCCCCTCCCCCACAGGCAGCTCATGCACAGCAGCAACTTCAGTAGCAGTGATGGTAGCACTGAGGACCTGTTCCGAGACAGCATTGACTCCTGTGACAACGACATCACGGAGAAGGTGGGTCCTGAGTGGGTGGAGGACAGGCTTAATGTGTGCGTGCTCCCCGGGGGTCGTGGGGAGCCCCCCAGCAGCTATCTGGGGACTCGGGAGACAGAGACCCTGTCCTTGCCCAGGAGTTGGGGGTAGGTTGCCCCGATAATGCGGACACGTACGCTTGGGGACCCTCACGCTCACTAAACATGGCTTCTGTCCCACGGTCTCTAGCTTCTCGGTCCTGTGGACTCCGAGGTTTCCTCCACCCCCACCTCTGCCTCCCTCTTGCAGGTGAGCTTCCTGGAAAAAAAAGTGACAGAGCTGGAGAATGACAGCCTGACCAATGGGGACCTGAAGAGCAAGCTGAAGCAGGAGAACACACAGCTCGTGCACAGGTCGGGGGCTGGGGGGCTGGGGGGCTGGGGCCCCGGCCGTGACTCGGGAACGGGCTTGGGGAGGGCCCTGAGAAAAGCTGGGGGAGGTGAACTGCACATCTTGTCCTTCCTCTCCGAGAGGCTGTGATGTGTCAGCCCCTTGCTACATGGCTGTGCCCATGCAGGACGCACAGGAGGACTGGTCTCTGGGGACTCAGAAATAGGTTGGAGCTTGACCTTGACCCCCATGTCTGCAGCCCCAGGGTGGGTGTAAGGCAGGAGTTGGGATCCACTCCCGTATTTCTCTGTCCTACACTGATGAGAGTCTGACACCCCCCCGCCCCCCACCCCGTTTCTGGGGACAAGCTCCGCAGAGAGAGACACTGGTGTGGAGTTGGGCTCGCACGTGCTGCTAGCGGAAGGGTCCGGGCATCACTGCCCCTCCTCCCGATGGGGGCCCGCTGACTCTGACTGCAGTGAGGTAGTGCATGTAGCATGTAGTTGTCCTCACGGGGTGGCATGAGATTTGGTAAACTGATCCCCGCCCAGGGTCTGGCCCTCAACCTTGTAGGGCCCAAAGATGGGTTCTGGAACACCCCAGAAGGGTAGCCCCCTGGAGGGACTGTTCCCAGTGAAACGTGCCCAGACTGTTAGGCCAGCTAGGCTGCCAGTGGTGGGGTTAGAGCGTGCCCGGTGGGACCTGGCCCCTTCCTGGGTCTTGAATGTTCGGGGCCCCTATCCAAGGACATGCGTGGTTTTGGAGTCAAGGTGCCCAGTAGCTGAATTCCTGGTCAGAGGGATAGGGACCAGGGAGGAGGAGAGCGGGAAGAGAAGCCAAGGCCCGAGGGCTGCTTCACGCAGCCGTGCCGAGGCCTGCCGTCCCTCCCCGCGCCTGGCTGGGAATGCCGCCTTCTCTGTGCAGCCCCGCTCCCCTCTGGGCCGACCGCCAGGCGCCCCCCTCCCCACCCTCGCCCCGTGGCGCGCGTCTCCTTACATGCTGTGGCATCCGCATTCATCTGTCACGGAAGCTGCTGACCCACAGGTCTGGCAAACACATCGCCACTTCCCGCAGCAGGGCTACGACGGAGCCAGGGTCTCGGGGCCTCCCGTAGCCAGGGGCGGGGGCGGGGTGGGAAGACACCAAGAGAGCTGGCCCTGGACTGGGGCGCGCGCCCCTCTGTCTCCTCAGGGTGCACGAGCTGGAGGAGATGGTGAAAGATCAGGAGACCATGGCCGAGCAGGCCCTGGAGGAGGAGGCGCGGCGGCACCGCGAGGCCTACGGCAAGCTGGAGAGAGAGAAGAGCACGGAGATCGAGCTGCTCAACACCAGGTGGGCGCCTGCTGGGGACGGGGCCGCCTCGGAGGCGCCCTCCACTCCTGGTCCAGGCCCGTGGGACAGGCACCGTCCCCGTGGTATGGATCGGAAAACAGCCTGAAGAAAAGCCCCCTGTTGTAACAGTTCTCCTCTTGATACCTGAACACCTGGACATGCTTGCTGGGAAGTATATAAAAGAACCTTCTGGTAGCATTATTTCTACTAGGTACAACTGGAGACAGCTCACAAGTCTGTCAACAAGAGGATAGGTTAAAAAACTGTGGTCTTGCCCCTATTCCTGGGTTGGGTATAATGTCCGGGCTCGGAGCTCCCCCTGCTGTCAGAGTCTCCTTGACCTCGAACACCTGGGTGCACTGACCCTGGGCCCCTGGGGCCAACGTAAATGGAAAGGCAGGGCCCGGTTTCTTTTGGGCTTCTGGGCCGCAGGTATAGCTGCTGGAACCTGAGGCCGGTAGGGAGAGGAGTATTGACCTGGGAATCTGGGTTGTTTACCCTTTAGCTCCAGGACTTTGGACATCCTGTGTCTTTTTCTGGGCCTCAGTTTCCCCATCTGTCAGTCCTCCCTCCCAGCCCCACAGAATGACCGTGAAGGCAGGTGGGTTGCTGCACATCAGAACAGTACACACAGGTGAAGACTGTGGTGTCCCAGGGCTGCCCTCCCTAATGACCCAGGCCAGGGAGGCCACTGGGAAGCTACCTAGGCCCCTGGCAGAGAGAGCAGTGGAGCCATCACTCTAGGAAGGAAGTAACAAGCGTGAAGGAGAGGGAATGTTCGGCAGGAATCGGTGGCAGAAATGACCCTGTGCTGTTCCGGTGCCACTGACCGCCCAACTCACCTGCCCTCTTCTCAGGTCATTTAAAACGACCTGGGTACCTGGGCTGTGTCTCCTCATGGGATCCTGTTAGGACAGCCCCCTCTGGACACTAACACAGAGGACAATGACCTGTGGATGTCACAGGCAGCTGCGGGGAAGGCCGAGCGAGGAGCCTGGGAGAGACGCTGGGGGGAGAAAGAAAAGCAAACGCTGTCATTGCTTTCCAAGCGGGAGGGACCTGCCACCACCAGCCACAGGAGGACCTGCTCTTTGTTTAGCAGAAAAACGTCCTCCGTGTTGTTTCAGGCTGTAAGGAGCATGTGAAAAAGAATCCTATGTTCTTATTCACAAATGAGTGTTTCCTTTTATCACAAACAGAAGGATGGTAATTCGGTGTCCTTCCCAGTTTGCCTTGGATGACAGGAAGCTCGAAGCTGTATTACCCATCTGGAACAACTAGTCATATTCTCCCTGTCTCTCTCTTGCTTTCTGGTATCTTCCCTCCTCCAGGAAGCAGAGAATCGCTGTAGACTGTCCATCCGTTGTAAGATAACCTCCGTTTCTGACATGTTTGTCTTTCTCCTTTTCCCAGGGTGCAGCAGTTAGAGGAGGAAAACACCGAGCTCAGAACAACAGTGACCCGGCTCAAGTCACAAACAGAGAAGCTGGATGAGGTGAGCAGCAGGCCTCGGAGTGTCCCTCAGATTCCGATCTTGAGCTGAAGCCACAGAGGCGGTGTTGGCCACAAAGGCCTCTAGTTGCTAGTTTGCCCTAACAACAACAACAACAAAATAAAATATGAATAGTAATTTGTCTTCCTATGTTTCTGATTTTCCAAACTTTTTTTACAGTGAATATAATTTTTTATATAATGGGGGGAAGTAATAATAAAAAAGAGAGAAGGAGGTTAGCTTGTGTTTGGCCGCACCTTTGATTCAGGTTTCATCTGGCACCATCGAAGGGCTTCAGAGGCCTGTGTTTCTAGAATCCTAAGGGACCCGGCTGTTTCTTTAAGCCGTGACTCGAGGGTTGTGTTCAGGGGGGCTGGTCGGACTGCCCGCCTGTCCAGGTGGCTGACCCAGAGCCCCCCGACGTCCCTGGGGTGTAGTGAGCCTCTCTGGGCACCGTCCTCCCTGACCCAGTCCCCCGATCCAGGAGCGGCAGCGCATGTGTGACCGGCTGGAGGACACCAGCCTGCGGCTCAAAGATGAGACGGACCTGTACAAGCGCGTGACGGACAAGCTGCGGCAGAACCGCCTTGAGTTCCAAAAGGAACGGGAGGCGACGCAGGAGGTGGGTCCCAGGCCGGAGGGCACCGGGCACCGGGGCTCCCTCCCGTGGCCGCGCTCCCGCCAACCAGCCCCTCCCCCACGCAGCTCATCGAGGACTTGCGGAAGGAGCTAGAGCACCTGCAGATGTACAAGCTGGACTGCGAGCGGCCAGGCCGGGGACGCAGCTCGTCCTCTGGCCTGGGCGAGTTCAACGCCAGGGCCCGCGAGGTGGAGCTGGAGCATGAGGTCAAGCGGCTCAAGCAGGTGGGCCCCGCCGGACGGGTCTCCCGCACGGGGCCCCAAGCTGCAGCGGCACCTTCCCACACCCCTTCCTGTCTGCTCCTCTCAACGTCCCTGCCCGGTGGGGCTGCCCGTCCCCACCCCACAGCTCAGGCAAGGCAGCTCACCTCTAGGCCACACTTGATGCGGATCCCGGGGTCTCTCCTTGGAGTCCACACAAAGAAGCAGACCCCACTCTGCTGTCCTTGCCGATGGAGTGGAGGAGGAGACTATCCAGCCATGGATGAGGGTCTGCTGTGTTGGGTCCTCCCAGAAGCAGACCCGGATCCCAAGGTTCCATTTCAAATGGTTCCCGGGAGCACTCCCATGATGGGGGAGTTGGGGGAAGTGGGATCAGGAGGGGCAGGGACCAAGGGAGGGTGTGATGGTGAGTGAAGCCCCCTGTTCAGCCCAGCCCGACATTCAGGGGTGGGAAACCGCTCTAGAAAGTCTACTCCTGCTGGCTTCACCAGCATCCCACAGCGATCCGAAAACCCCAGCCCTTTCTCATGCATGAGGGCACCAAGTCCCAGGTGTGCGGTTAGTTAGGAGACTTTAGGCAAAAGCTAGCACGTGGTACTGGCACGTGGGGTCTGGGCAGGGCCCTGTGAGGCCACCTGTACTCAGGAAGAGTTCCCACAGAGCAGGATTCCTGAACCTCGCTACAGGAGGAGACTGGATCCAGCCTTGCAGCCCGGAGACCCCAAAGTATCAGGAGCTCCTCTTCTGGCTCACTCACCCCAGGGAGGAAAGCATGGCCAGGAGCCCTGCCCTTATCTGGAAACTTCGTTCCCCTGAGTGGGCCCATAACTCTTCCTCAGGACCCCGTGACCACCCAGGACCCAGCCCTTCCCCCGAAGCCTGGCAGAGGCCACATCACCTATGGGTGTCTTTGAGCTGGCCTGACACACACCTGAGAGGAGGGTCCCGGTGGCAGTCAGGAGACCGTGAATGCAAAGAAATGGGTTCTGCTGGGTTCTGGATGCTTCTGGCAGCTGACGTTGCCTTTGTCCCACTCCACAGGAGAATCATAAGCTGCGGGACCAGAATGACGACTTGAATGGACAGATCTTGAGCCTCAGCCTCTATGAAGCAAAGAACCTCTTTGCCACCCAGACCAAAGCCCAGTCTCTGGCCGCAGAAATAGACACGGCCTCTCGCGATGAGGTAATGTGCCCTCTCATTCTTGCTTGGGAGCCTCGGCCGCTCCTCTGCAAGTCCTGTCCCGCACCCGTGTGCTGTGATGAGAAGTCCCAGGCTACCCCGAGCAGGGGAAGCAGACCAGGGCCCGTGAGGGTCCCCGTCTGCAGCCACCTGAGTGACCGTGCAGAGCACTGAGGGAGTTAGAGCAGTTCTGACTTCCTGCGTGTGCTGGGGAGGAAGCTCTGGGAACAGAGTGGAGTTTGAGTCTTTGCTCTACCAGAAACATGCCAAAATGGCCGGCTGATCAACATGTCTCTGTCAGCCCGTAGTGCAGGAGAAGCTAGAACCCCTCTGCCTCAAGCCAAGAGGGGAAAGACACTAGCGTTTCTTGAGCACCTGATTGTAGTGTGTCTTCATCTTCTGACAACTCAGAGGCTTCCTGGACATTTCCATGTTACAGATTGGGAGGCTAGGACACAAGATCACCCAACTTGTGGAGGGAGAAGGACCCAGGTCTCCAGAACCAAAGTCCGTTCTGCCCCACCACCCCACACCAGGCTGTGCTTCTAAAAGATCAGGCCTCCAAAATACCCTGGTTACATTTGAACATGAATCATAAGACAGTCACTGAACCCTTTATCCTGTGCTTAGGACACAGAGCTAAGTGCTGACCCCTAGCCTCGGGGGACTCCCAGGTGAGCTGGTTACCAGCCTCCAGTCTGGGGGCAGAGGTGGCATTTCAGTGACCTAAAGGACACATCGGGAATGGACCTGCACAGGGGCAATGGCAGGGTCGGGGTGATGAGGGGACCGTTTCAGGTAGAGGAAACAGCTAGAAGCCTTACAAGTCTTAGGGCCCTGGGACTCTGGATGTCATTCTTGATTGCAAATGCCTTTAGCCAGTGTTTTCAGCCTGTACCGAGCTGTTGCTCATACTTGGGTCCCTCCACAGACCAGTTGGATCAGAATCCCTGGGGGAGGGGCCTGGGCATCAGCATATCTCACACACCTTACTGTGAGCTGTCACTGCTCTCGCTGGTTTCTGGCACCCAAGTGCTGAGGTTGGTCTGGGGGCCTGCCTTGCCCGGGTGTCCCGAGCCCCTCTGTGCCGGGCCCTGGCTCACCACAAGCTGGGGAATCCGGGTTCCACCTGCACTCCAGCCCGGGCCTGGCCTCTGACCTGCCTCTCCCGTTCCCCCCAGCTCATGGAAGCCCTGAAGGAGCAGGAGGAGATCAACTTCCGGCTGAGGCAGTACATGGACAAGATTATCCTTGCCATCCTGGACCACAACCCCTCCATCCTTGAGATCAAACACTGAGACGAGGGCTGGCTGCAGAGCGGCCTCGGGACCTTCCCAGCCCTGGACCCTGGGACCAAGGCGCAGACCCCACTTGAGGATGCGGCCCAAGCCAGGCCACACACACACAGACACACACACACACACACACACACACACACACACACACACACACACACTGTAAACATCTCTGGCCACCATGTCCTGTGTACTGATGCGTATGTGGGGAAGCCGCTCACACAGCAAGGGGTGAGCGTGGGGCTGTGAGTGTCATCTGCACAGTTACTGCCCGTGCACTTTGCAGTCCCCTTGCAAGAGCGGATGGTCCTGGAGGGTGGGAGGGGCAAGGTCTGCTATCAGGAGTTACTGTAATAACAAGAACTGGAAGACTGTGTTTCAGGTACTGGATGAAAATGATTCTACCTCTGGGGATAAGGATTTAAAGATGCTTAGTGAGACGGGCTCTTTTCACCCCACCTCTGTTCCCTCTGGGAGTGGGAGCAAAATTATGGTCTTTCCCAGGGGTTCGAATGCCTAACGGCCACATCCTCCCCAGCCTCTTTGGCCACCTTTCAAGCCTAGGTGCTCAGGCTCAGAGAGGAGGAAGGGGCCCTCCCAGAGCCCCTCCCTGGCCAGCAGCCCCTGTGATGCCTGTGCGTGGGGTGTCCCGAGGACTCAGGCTTGCAGGAGAGCTGGCATGGGGCAGCCTTCGTTTGAGAAGTTCTTGGTATTTGGGGGGTTTCCTGTACACTTCCCCATCCCTGCCTGCCTGCCTGCCTCTTCCTTTCTGGCTTGGTTGTTTTGGGTTTTTATTTTAGAGAGAGAGCGCGAGTCGGGGAGAGGCGCAGGGTCGAGGGTGGGGTGGGGGTGGAGAGAGAGAGAGAGAGAGAGAGAATGAATCTTAAGCAGGCTCCACACTCAGCATGGAGCCCGACGCTAGGCTCAATCCCACAACCCAGGGATCATGACCTGAGCTGAAATCAAGAGTTGGACGCTCAACTGACTGAGCCACCCAGGCGCCCCTCTTTCTGTTCTATTGTTAAGACCATGAAAAATGAGCGGTATTTAACTTGAGTGTAAAATGAAGGGAATAAAAGGGGGTGGGGAGTGGGGGCCAGGGGTGTCTAAGGCACGTGTTGGCATTGGGTGACAAAGACCTTAGTTCCAGGGAGGAGCATGGTCCCATTCCAGTCTGTTCCCTCCCCGTGGGCTGCATTTCACGAGAAGCATGGATGGACGGTCCGCAGGCGGGGAGTGGGCCTTGCTCACCTGCTCCTGTTCGCCACACAACCCGGTGATGGCAGGCCTCAGGTTTGGAGTTTGGGATTCTGAGCTCTGGGCTTGACTCAGCTGGGTAGCGAGGCCCCCGCGTCCCGCCTTTTGGAAACTCTCCTATTCAGTTCTCAGCCAGAGAGGTGTGCTGGTGAGAGACACGGGTGGGGAGATCGCAGGGAAACCTTCGGCCTCCGTCCTTGTGACACATGGTGGAAATTCTCTCTCTGGATTTTTTTTTCTCTCTCTCTCTGGATTTTTAACGTGATCTTTGGTTGTAGGCAGCTGGTACGTTGAGTTTTCCAGTTTGTCTCAGTTTTATATGGCTTGTGATTCGTTTCGTTAATCCACACATATATAAACATGTATGCTCTTGGTTTTTTTTCCCCTGCAGTTTGTTTTCCACAGCAATTCTAGTGTAAGAAGGAAAGTTCAGGCATGTTGGGGAGGGGCAAGAAGGGGTGTATGCAGAGAAGCGGGGGCAGGAGAGGGTGAAGAGGGGATCGGGGACTTGGGTATGTATGTTCCCTGTTCACGAAGGCAGGGCTGTGGCCACCACCCATCTTCGTTCCATTCCAGTCAACTTTTGCTTCTGTTGGATTTTGTGATTTCTTTTGAAGCATAAGTGTGGGGTTTGTTTCATGCTGCAGATAACGGGGCTGCGTTGGTCTGATCCAGGCCTTTGGGGGTCACCCACCGCAGGAAGACTAGGGCAGGGAGTCTCTCGACCCGCGAGGGTGCTGGTCTCCTTGGGCTCCTCCAGGGGTCTGAGAAGCAGCAGCAGTGGAAAGAAGGCATGAGGAGTGAGTCTCTTGAGAATTTGCTAATGGCCCCTAATTAAAGGAAAGAAAAGAAGACGTATGAGGACTTGGCTTTGGTCTGGATTTGACACCAGGAGGAGTCCTACAGAGGCCAGCCAGACCAAGGTCCTGGGCTGTGGGAGACTCGCCCCAGGGATGAGCATTTTATATGTAAAACTCTATATGCTCTTTAGCTGCTTTGATCTGGAATTCCAAAGAAGGGCCCAGAGGCCTGGGTTACACAGTCACACGGTCACTAGGCGGGAAGGAATTTCTGCCTTGGTGTAAAGGGGCGGAAAAAGCCGTCTGCCAGCAACATTCTGCCACCTCCTCCCTGAAGGGGGCGCCATGGGAGCGGCCTCCCTGAGGACGCAGCATCTGAAAGGCCCCAAGGGACCTGGTGCTGTGCCTGGGGTCTCTGGAAAAAGGGCGGACTTTAAAATGAGACTAAACTCCACGTAACCCGGGTCTCGAGTTAAATCCAACCATCTTCAGCCAGAGTACGTCTCATAAAACCCAGACCGTCTAATTGGCTCTCAGCGATCATGTAGCGTCTTTAACTGCTCTTCCCTGCTTGAAAGCTCGCCTGAGGGGGGCACATGTCCCAAGGGTCCCAGCCCCATGGGCCCTGCGAGGCACCGGCGGGGCAGACCCTGCCCCCTTCCAGTGTTTCCCCCTACGTTGTGTGTAGTCTGGTAGAGCGTTACACTCTTCTCTCTCTCCGTACGGGGGGGCTGCTAGGTAGCATGCATGGTGCCCAGCCCAGTGTGCATTTCAGGCAAACAAAACAGAACTCATAGGAGAAGTATGTTCCCTGCAATGCCTGGAACATACTTAAAATGGAGAGAGTTTTAAAATTCTAATAACTGGGTGGAATCCACAGAGGTTCTGACTTCGTGGGTGTGGAGCGTGGCCGCCGAGGCATCGGAATGTTTGAACAACTCCCCAGCTGATTGTAATTTAACTGGGTGCCCCTCTGTGGGTTTTGTTTTTTGTTTTCGCTGAACCTGGCCACCTTACCAAGTAGGGATTAGTAGTAACTTGTCCAAAGTTTAGAGGTGTTGCGGGGGCGTGGAGAGGGGTTTCTGCAACAGATTCGCATTTTACTCGGCAGTTGGCTATCCTTACATTCAGTTGGAAAGCAGACAAAATTTGCCGAATCAGCAAGTGAGGGTTATATACAGTATCTAATAGAAAAGGAGGTACTCTCTGGGTTAGCTAGGCCTTATTCTGTGGGGAAGTATAAGAAATAAAGTTCTAGTAGAAAAAAAAATTTTTTAACTTTGAATTGGCCAAGTTACACAAATTATTATGTTTTTTTTTCAACGTTTTTATTTTTATTTTTGGGACAGAGAGAGACAGAGCATGAACGGGCGAGGGGCAGAGAGAGAGAGGGAGACACAGATTCGGAAACAGGCTCCAGGCTCTGAGCCATCAGCCCAGAGCCCGACGCGGGGCTCGAACTCACGGACCGCGAGATCGTGACCTGGCTGAAGTCGGACGCTTAACCGACTGCGCCACCCAGGCGCCCCAAATTATTATGTTTTTTATTAGAGCAGAGGAGAGGGGCAGAGGGAGAGAACGAGAGAATCTTAAGCAGGCTCTACACTCAGCATACAGCCCGACTCGGGGCTCGATCGCATGGCTCGTGACCTGAGCTGAAATCAAGAGTCTGACCTTCAACCGACTGAGCCACCCAGGCACCTGTAGACAGACAGACACACACACACACACACACACACTTTTTAATTTGTAGATTCTCTAAGAATGGCCAGAGGGAAATTCCTTTACCTTCACTTTGTTTCTGACCTGTTACAAACACAGAGCTCAAGAATCTCCGAAAGCACTTGGACCTGAAACAGTGGTTTTCAACTTGGGTTGTGCATTGAAATCACCTAGGGAGATATAAAAACTTCCGCCTGAGCTGAACCCTGCCCCTCCTCCCATCTCTGCCCCCAGATTCCAGTGTAATTGGTATAGGTGTGGCCCGGGCACTCAAATGTTGAAAGAGCTCCCCAGGTGACACCGATGGGTAGCCCCAGGTTGAGACCCCTGCCCTAGAGGGTTGCTAGCCAAGGGTAGAGGAAACGGGTAGAGTTGGTCGTCAGGTTTGTTAATCCAGGTGCTGCGTTAACATTAGGGTGTCAGTGGCTTTGATGGATGGTGAGAAGCCAGGAGGTCCCTCGCCCCAGGATGGGAGGCCAGGTGCCTTCAGGAACTGGTGTGCCCAGCTGTTCTCGTCACCCTGGGGGTTAGCACACCTGAGTGGGCAAGTCTCTGTCAGGTGCCCATGGGGTCAGGCGCGGGCCCATTCTGGAGTTGGGGTAGAACAGAGTCAAGGGTCGGGGAGGGGCTGTCCCCCGGAAGGCAGCCTCCTACTTGCACAGCTGAGCAGGAGGGGACACTGGCTTTGTGGGTTTTGCCTCTGACCTGTTTTCAGGCTGGGTGGATGAGGGTCACCCCAGCGTCTCCACTTTCAGCACCCAAACCAGCACACCCTGGCCCACGTCCAGGAGGCTCCAGGCGCCGGTCTGCTGGATCATCTGATTCCTGACCCAGCCAGGTCCCGGTGGTCAGGAGGGCACAGTGCGGGCGCTTTTGTTCCACCGAGGGACTTAATGGCCGGCAGAAACTGCAGCGGCCAGTGGGGACTGGTGGCTCAGGGCGAAACTAAGGCCGCTTTTTGTGCTGTGGGCACGTGTGTTTAATGCATTAGCAAATTTAGCAGGGGAAGTTTGGGAACGGTTGCCACGCCAAGAAAATGACTGTTCGCCTGGCACGACCACAGCGACTCTTTGAAAGGGCTGAGGAGGGTTTGGGGCTGAGGGCCTCAGTGCTGGCATCCTCCCTGGCCGGTCCTCCTTGGGGACGGAGGTCAGTCCCTGTAGGGCGATGCTTCAGGCTGGTGGAGACCAAGGCCCATCTGCTGAGGGGCCTCAGGCCAGAAGGGCCAAGTACCCCCTGGTGACTTCAGGCAAGTTCCTTCTGTTGACCTTAGGGACCTTCAGGTCCTCCGTCCTGCTCTGAATCTGTGCACAAATGGTCAGGGAGCAGGAGAGGCTGGCACCACGGGCCAGCCCGAGCTGCGTGGCAGCACAGCTCTAAGGCCCTTGTGCCGCCCACCTGAGAACATAGGCTGCTTTCTGGAAAGGTTGGTTTCTGAAAGCATAGACCCTGGCGAAGCGGTCTGACTTTGGTGCTCCGACCTTGTAGGCTCCTCCTCCTTCCTTGTGACTGTGACCCGCCATCTGCCCCTGCAGCCACCGCAGGAGGGTGGCTGAGAATGGCGGGAGTTAAGTGCTGTTGCCCCGAGGGGACCGCACCTCCTACCGGGACCCTCTGCTTTGCTGTGCTGCACAGGCTGTGTTTTGTCTGCATGGTTTG